ACACACACACACACACACACACACACACACACACACACACACACACACACACACACACACACACACACACACACACACACACACACACACACACACACACACACACACACACACACACACACACACACACACACACACACACACACACACACACACACACACACACACACACACACACACACACACACACACACACACACACACACACACACACACACACACACACACACACACACACACACACACACACACACACACACACACACACACACACACACACACACACACACACACACACACACACACACACACACACACACACACACACACACACACACACACACACACACACACACACACACACACACACACACACACACACACACACACACACACACACACACACACACACACACACACACACACACACACACACACACACACACACACACACACAGACACACACAGACATCATCGCGAAAATACTCAAAACGGATTCAGGGGACCTCAAAACGTAAAAATCCGTCAAAAACTCGAGGTCGAAAAAAATCATGATTCCTATACTTTCCTTATATCTGTATACAGATAGGAAAGTAAAAAATTATTGAAATAATTTGCCATTTGTTTTTGATCATCTATAATATTCCCTTCTATTTGAATTTTGTGTACGATGTTTTTTTTTTGAGGCATATTTGTTACTTCATTTATTATTTTCCAGGTTTTTTATAGTTTAGACTGACTTCATTTAATTTATTTATGTTAATAATTATTTTTTATTAAATTTATTAATCTATTTAAAAAATTTCTATACCTATTTTATTCTTCTTTAGTGGAAATATTATTTTTATTATTTAAAACTTTCCCCACCGTTGGCCGGGATTTTTTTAATTTAATTTAGTTATTTAAAATTAATTCTGATGCCTTGGTGGGATTCCGCACTCGACCATTCACTGTTGGGTTCTAATTAACAGTGCTGTTCCTAAAGTGGCGCTGGGAAACAGTCACAAAGCCTACACAGAATACGAGGCTAATGACCTTAGCAGTCGAGGCCGATGACACAAAAAAAAAACTTTCTTTTTTAATAAATCCCGTTTTAACAGTTAAATATTACTTTAATGCATATCAATATACAGGGAGGTTTTGCCAATAAATGCTTTGATCTAAATTTAATTTTACAGAAACAAAATGTAAGTATTCTATGTGTTACTGAACATTGGCTTGATATTCTAACAATTTACAAGCTACCTCAATTGACGATGTTAAGTTAGTATCATATTTTTCACGGATAAATAAAGAAAAAGGTGGTGGTAGTATATTTATGAAAACAAGTATTACTGCAAATTTTGAATCAATTAATTTACATAGGTGGTGTATAGAAGGTGAATTTGAAGTATGTGGTGGAAAAATAAAGATCGATTCTAAACTTTTTTAATTTATTATTACTGTGTATAAGCCACCTTGTACTAAGTTTAGCACTTTTATAAATCAGCTAGAGCTATTAAATCATAATATTTATCAAAACGACAATCACTATTTTATCTGTGGTGATATTAACGTAGATTTTTGATTGAAGGTAATCAAAAAACTGTTTTAATTGACTTATTGAAGGAATTTAATATTAAACATCATATAAATGTTGCAACGAGAACAACAAGTACAACCTCAACTTGTTTAGATAATTTTTTTATCAATTTTGATGTAGATAAGGTGTGTGTACATGATACTTTTTTGTCTGATCATAACTACTTATTATGTTCGATTAAACTACCTAATTTTGAAAATAACGATTTTAAGTGATCCTAACACAATAAATTTTATAAATATTTTATCAGTTGAAAATTGGCGTGAAGTATACACATCTACTAATTTTAATGATAAATTTTCTATATTTTATGAATCATTCCTATACCACTACAATATTGTATTTACGAAAACAAAGAAAGCGATAAAACCACAAAAATTAAAAAATCAGTTTCCACCTCATATTAAAGAGTTACATAATCTATTATGTGAAATAACCAGGTAAAAGAAATAAATAAATTCTACATATTATACAGAACGATACAATAATTTAAAAAAAGAGTATCAAAAAATAAAACAATATTTGAGAAGAAAAAATAATGATCGTATTTTAAAAAGTAGATAATAACGTAATGAAAGAATCCTGGAATATAATAAACGAGAGTAGGGGAAAAAGAAAAAAACAACTTTTTGAATCCTATTAAACTTACAAATGATGACAAATTAACATATCCTTAGAAAAAGTAAATTATATCAATGACTATTTTATTAATGTAAATAAAAATAATATTGTATCTAACTATACTATGAGTATTGATAAACATCATAAAAGTTTTTTCTTTTTCCAATAACTCCTAGTGAAATCATCACTATAATCAAAAAAACTACTTCTAAACCTACTGAAGGTATTGACGAAATAAATGGTAAAATTCTGTTATCGGTTGCTCATTGTATTGCTGAACCCATATCACATTTGATTAATGAATCCTTTGTTTCGGAAATATTCCCAAATATGAAGGAATCTAAAGGAGTTCCTGTTTATAAAAATAAGGGATCTGCATCTAATATAGAAAATTATCGTTTAATCTGTATATCTAGTCAAATAACTAAAATATTTGAGTTAGTATACTTTATTAGACTCACTAATTACCTTGAAAGTTTTAATATGTTGCCAGATACTCAAAATGGATTTAGAAAAAATAAGTCAATATCTACTGCAATTGCAGCTTGCCTAGAGTTTATATATCAAGCACTTAATGATAAAAAACATATTTTGGGACTCTTCTATGACCTTAGTCGTGCATTTGATATGGTGGATTATAATCTTTTATTATTGAAGATGAATGGGTTAGGAATACGAGGGAAACCTTATGAATCGATACACTTAATAAGTCGAACTCAAGTAATTGTAACAAATAGTCTAAAATCTGATTCTCTTCCATGTACAATAGGAGTTCCCCAAGGTTCAATTTTGGGCCCACTTCTTTTTATAGTTTTTATAAGTGATATAAGTAATTTTTGTTTAAGCTCTCAACAAATAGTTCAATATGCCGATGATATCAATATTGTAATGGCAGATGATCAAATTGAACAGGTCAGTCAAATTAGCAACGGGGCATCTCGTGAGTTTAACCAGTATTGTAAAGATAACGGTCTGGCATTAAATGTAACAAAAACAAACTTCATGCAATTTCTTCCCAAAAACATATTGCCAGATTACGAACCCTACTTGCACGTTGACGAAAAAACTATTCAAAGCATTGATGACATAAAATTTTTAGGAATAATATTAGATCCCAAATTAAATTGGGAAGCTCATATAAAAATGGTAACTTCAAAATTAAGTACTTGTTGTTATATCATCAAAAATTTAAGGGAGACACTATCTTTTGATTCTTTAAAACTATGCTATTTTGGTTTGGTTCATTCAACTCTACAATATGGGTTAATATTTTGGGGTTCTTCACCATACTTTGAAAGAGCTTTTGTATCTCAAAAGAAGGTTCTAAGAGCCATGTATAAGGTGACACCAACAACATCATGTAAAGAACTTTTCAAGAAAACGCAAATTTTAACACTACCTTCCCTTTTTATTTTTTAACTAATTTTATACATAAAAGATAATGAGCATATATTTAAGAAATATAAAGACCTTCACTCATATGATACTAAATTAAAATTTAACATCCATTAACCTTTTTCACGACTACAAATAAGCCAGCATTCACCAAAATATATTGGGATTAAGTGTTACAATAAGTTGAGTAACATATTAGAAGATACTACAGGTTATCATCAAATTAGTCGTAATGATTTAAGAAAACATCTTAATGATTTTATTGTAAATAATGTATTTTATAGTATAGAAGATTTTTTGAACTTTTAAACTAATCTTAACATGAATTGTCTATTATATATATTTTATTTTTTAATGTATTTTACTTAACACTTTTTTGACTAATCTGATAGGATTTTACATTATGTACCTAGTGTCTTTGTATAGATGAATAATTTCTATTTTTAATTGATGTTAGTAGTCCTGCGGTCATCCACGGTTTTATTTTTATGTTTTTATTATTAAATCTTCTAACGAAATTTCTGTATAAAGTTTTTTTAGCAGAACAGCTACTATTATCAAATCCAAAATTATATAGCAAAGGATAGTAATCTGTCATATTATTGTGTAAAACTAAAGATTTAAACTGTACTTTATTATTTATTATTGTATTTCTGTATATTAAAATATGATTAACTGTAGTTGAAGAACCGCCTTGTTCTCTTTTGGGTACATTTATTTGATGAAGAAACCTGTTTTTACTTAGCATATTCATATAGGTTATTGAATCTATAGTTGTATTATCTTTAGGGTTAATATCAATGTTTATATCCCCCAACACTATTGAAATGTCATTTTTAACTAAAGTTGTAAGATATTTCTTTTAATTCATTATAATTAATTAGTTTAAATTTTACAAAAGTTTCAATTCCTCTTAGATGAGTTATAATCGGATAATAATTAACTGCTCAGATATTTGTTCAATACTCTTTACGCAGTGATAATTTAAAGCATTTGGAAAAGTAAAATCCTGACGAACTGACAATTGTCATATTGTCGGATTTAATATTAGTATTAATAAAACTGATTGCGATATTAGCTGTTTCCACATCTCAGTAGGATTACCCTTATTTAAAGCTATTTTAGTTTTCAAGCATTTGCTTTTTTCATGTTAAATAACATTCACTGCTTTATTCCTATTACATTTATACATTTGCCAGTTTTCCTTTGATTTGTTAGTAATAAATGTTTTATAACTTTTATCTCTCACACTAATAGCAGTTCTAACCTGATCATTCCACCAGTTCTGATAATATGGTAAAATTTTAACTTGTTTTTTTTTTGGGTATCGGCTATATCTGTCGTACTGTACGTTATGAATAATTTTAATGCGGTTTAGTTTTAAATTTGTTTTATTTTTTAGACAATGTTGTCGATTAAAGAAGCTTATGGTGCTGGTTACGAAAATATTTGTATTTTAACATTGGCTCCCGAATTAAGGCATTCAGATCAAATTATACGAAAACTTAAGAAAGATGGCATAGTAGTATCTTTAGGTATAATAATTTTGAATTAATTGTTTACAGTTTCTTCTTTCTTTTACTCAATATATCGCTGTCCCAGTTCAAAACTGTAACATCTCAAAAGTTTTAGAATTTGAGATAAGAATGTATTTTTAGCGAGGAAGGCATGATCTGTACAATTCAACACTAATATCTCAAAAGATTTTGTAGAAGAAAATGTAGAAACAAAATCTTTCGAGATATCGTATCTTAAATCCTAAAAATTTTAAAATGGGACAGCGATATGTTATAGATTATTTCAAAAAAAGTGAATAAATCATTCTAACCAAGCTATTTTTTCCAGGTCATTCCATGGCTAACTTATCTCAAAGTGAAAGTGCAGTAAAACATGGTGCTTCCTTTATAACTCATTTATTTAATGCTATGTTATCGGTAAGTTTTTAAATGCAATACTTATAATAATATACTGTTCAGTATCTGTTTAAATCAATATTTAATTTGAAGAAACGCCTGTACAAAAAAATAAACTTTTGATCTTATCAGACGTTAGTCAATAACAAAGTTTTTCTTAATACTTATCTTGAAGAACTTCAGTATTTTCCACAGTTTTCAATGTAGCATAATTGTGAAAAAAAGATTAAATCTATCCCACTGTAACTGAACACCATGTATGATTCTAGGTATTTTACAATTAATCCCTATAACTGTTATTTGTGTTTTCATATTTCTTATGATATGAGATATATTGGATTTCATCGAATTTATGAATTATTCTGTATAATCTAAAATATTGTTATGTACTGCTATCTTGAAATATTCTGTATGTTATAAAATTACCTAAAGTTACATAAAATTACATAAAATTACATAAAATCACATAAAATTACATAAAATTACATAAAATTACATAAAAGTACATAAAATTACAGAAATCTGAAAACTACCCATTATGTCACTTATCTTTACTGATATTACTCATTTTTCTAGTTTCATCATAGAGACCCCGGTTTAATCGGACTTTTAACATCTGATCAAGTAGATCTAGACAAATTATTTTATGGTATAATATCTGATGGGATCCATACTCATCCGTGTGCTTTAAGGATCGCGTATAAGGCACATCCGAATGGTAAGACTATGTATTAATTAGAGGTTAAAATGAAAGGCGTATCTAAAATATGCAAAATTAGAAGTATCTAAGATTTTCTGTCTTATGTTTAAATAATATTGTCCAGGGCTTTCGGCATTAAGCCATCATTGGTACTTCATCAGAAATAAAAGAAAAAGGTTAACATTGCACACACTAACGTTAAATAACTAAATTAAAACTGCATTTTGAATTGAAATTATTTGAAATTCGAAACCATTAGAGGGTGAGAAATTATATCGCCCTGTGGAGTGGGATGATAGAATGACATCACCCGGGAATTTACTATCGGTATTGTAGAAGCCCACCAAGTGGCCACTTCACAAAAATGGGGCGTCTAGAAACACCTTTCGGCGACGTTATTAACCTGCAGGACTTTAACTTGAAAGGGAAAGGCTGGCTATTCCTAGACATCACTCAGCAACAACCAGCAGAATTTAATAACCTGCAGGACTTTAAAGAGCTGAAAAAATGGCTATTTGTAATAATAATTAATAATAACCTTTATTGTTTTTAAACTAATACACAATTTTATAACATTCAATTCTTAAAATTAAAAACAAAATGCGAAGTTCAATTTATCTGGTGATAGATTACCAGTAAATTGTTCTTCCACTTGTAGACACCCCTTAGGTTCGTATCTATAAACAAAACTCAGCTGAGTCGGACTTGAGTAAGTCGTCTTTAAACTAAAATCGAAGTTCGGTTACAACGTTTCTAAAGTTCCAGGTAGTTCTGATCTTATACTGGAATTTAGAGATGGATATTAGCAAATCTGTAACTGTTAAGAACATTTACGGATTTGTTGCTACCTATTTCTAAATTCACGCGATATAACTGAACTTCGATTTTCGTTCAAGGATGACTCAGCTGAGTTTTCTTTATAAATACGGACCTTAGTGTCAACCAGAAGGTTTTTGATGGGTTAATAATCTGCAGGACTTTGACATCTCTTAACGGCAACCAGCAGGATTTGACTTGTTGAGAGGCAGATTCTATATGCTCCTGGAGAATACGCAATGGGCCGCATGAGGTCTGAGTGCTGTGGAGCAACTCACCCTCGCCCTTTTTACAGACAGAGGACGCCGCAATCGTTTTATGTATCAGAACGTGTGTTGTGCCAAAAATATATTTTATTATGCACAGTTTTGCCTGGCAAATTTTTAGAATAGTCTGGTAATAAAGTTATGTAACACAATTAACGATAGATGGGACACCTTCGAATTCATCGTATATTTTATAAAATTAAAAATTATTTTTCCAGGTTTGGTTTTGATAACAGATGCTCTTTCTGCACTCGGTTTAACTGACGGAAGGCACAAAATTGGTCAAATGGATATAGAAATTAAAGGTGGTATTGCCTTTGTAGCAGGCACTAACACCCTTTGTGGCAGCGTTACTAGTCTATTGGAGTGTGTGAAATTTTTCCACAAGGCCTCAGGTAAATTTTTATTTTCCATAACTTATTTTTGTTTAAAATTAAGTCAGAACTCAACTTCAAAATAATATTAGTGCTTGTTAATTATTATTCACAATATTGGCTATTTTAAAGCTTTTTGGGCTGTGAAGTGAAAGCTTATTACTTTTTGAAGATAATTAACAAGTATAAAATCGTTTGACGATTTCATTCAATTTTTTTTTTTAATTCAATGATAAATAAATATCCTGAAATTAGTTTAAAAGATGTAGTTTGTTTAGTATTTAAATTAACAGCTTCCACAAACTCATATCCGCAAATAAACTTATAAAAGATTTTTGTGAGATGTCCTAAAGTCTATTCAAATTTAATTTACGCCTGATGTAAACAGAAGCAGGTGGACGCTAAAATTGAGCAGGGCCGTATTTTACTTTTCCGTCTTGCACAAATGTAAAATAAAAGAGTGTAATTGTGAAATTATTTTTTTATTACGATAAAAACATATTTTGTAAAGTAAAACTATAAAATAAATGCCATACACGGTCTCCCAGACTTTAGTGACATTTCTGGACGAAGATAGGTGAGCGACATAAACTGCGTTAACCTGCAATACAAATTAATAAATGTATTTGACTTTAAAAGAGATGGTTGCATTATACAGGGTGTTAAAAAAAAGTGTCATAAAATGAAATGGTGAATAGTATGACCCAAAATAAGCAGAAAAGTCTTAATAAATATATGACCGCTAATTAACGGTTTCGGAGATACGGACCATTTTGTGTTTATAACAATTTTTTATTATTATAAAAAACAATGATATTTATAAACAATCAATAACAACATAGAGTTAAATGAAGGGATGTGGCGATTAGGGAAAGCGTCGATATACTGACGTAGCGCTTCCCTCGCATTGCCATTTGCACGACCGTACATAAAATGCATGTCAGCTAATTCAATATTAGTGTAAACAGGCATAACGAAAATTTATAAAATTATTCACCCACAACAAAATAATAACTGCAAATAGTATCTATGAAAAAACATCGGTAGACTCCGATAAGAAAAGCAAGTTTTTGAGAATGAAAAAAGATAATCAAAAAATGATACAAAACACTCCGTATCTCTGAAACCATTCATTTGCGGACATGTGTTTATTAAGACTTTTCTGCATATTTTGGCCCATACTACCACCCGTTTTATTTTGTGACACTTTTTTTTTAACACCCTGTATTTAGTTCATTACATATGTCTACTGTGATACAGAGCATTAAAACAATCATATTATAAAATTATATTGTACAGGGTGTCCAAATAATTGCAAATTCTTTAATAGCTAATATATATCTACTAAAAGCATTAAAAAAACTTTAAATATAAGAGGTATTTGGTATTTGATTTAAAATTGTGCATCTTAAAAAGAAACCTTTTGTATTTTTGATAACTTTTGTTCTTTATTGTTTTTGTTCTACTAGTATTTAGATTAGACAACTTGTACCCTGTATTATAGCAATGTTCCTTACTTGACTTAGCACTATTCTGAATCGGATAAATTAGTTAGACTTGAAAGGCTATCTTCATTAATCAAAATTACAACTCCCACATTTTTACTTCAACTTTTTGGCGAACATGGTCGATACACTTTTTCCATTTTTCTGGAGAAATTAATAATATTACTTCTTCAAAAAGAATTTTAATGTCTCCAAATTTAAATGTTGAGTTTTTATCTGCTACGTATTGTTTAACGTCAACCTAGATTAATTCAATAGGGTTAAGTTTACAATGATACGGAGACACGTGAAGTATTATGTTGTTTTGCTGCTTAGCCATTTCATCTATTACATACCTATCATAATGTTTATGTTACTTACCAAGTTTTAGAAGTTGGCTCTTAAGCATTTGGTAGTCGAATTCAATTTTTTCCCTTATAATTTTTAAACATCACCTTTTTTAGACGTCGTAGATATTTTTTCCAGCTTTCTCGAATAATAATGCAGTTATCTTCTAATTTTGGTAGGGTGTTTGAAAACCACTCTTTGAACGATTCTCCACACATTTCTTCATGGTAGTCACCGGGTTTTTCAACTCAAATATATAAAGTGCATTAGAGACAAAGCCTTCTTCACTTCCAATATGGCATATAATGAGCTGTTTTTACGCACATACCTGATGGGTTTTTAAAAACAGTTAAAAGTTCATCCAAAAAGGCTTGTCTGGATGAAAAAACCGACATATCGAAACATATTTTTGATTTGGTGTGGCTTGCGTTAATCCAAGTCTCATCAAGATAATATATTTTTTGCTTTTCTTCTCTGTACCGTTTTATTTTTTGTGGCGTAGGACGAAACGATTTAATTTTTGTCTAAAAGCAAACTATTTTTTCCTCGAGTTTTAAATTTAAAATTAAGGGTTTTGTAAAGCTTGTAAAATGTAGCTCGCTTAAAAGTAGACAAATATGGATCATCGTTGACTTCTTATAAAACCTTATCAATTGTTGGAAGTTAATTTCTAAAGAAGAATTGATGTACTTTGCGCCCCTTATTGCATTTTTATCAAAATCGTCCACAGATCCACTAATTTGTTTATAACGTAGCTTTCTTTTTGGTTCAAAAAAATTTATGAATCTGCCTATACTCCTTCATAACATTAAAAACGGTTTTAGCGCACATCCCTGTTTTATCAGCAACTCTCCTTTCAACATCATGTACCAACATATCAGGGTTCTATAAAATTTAATGCTTATAAATATTAAGAACCATTTCTTTAGTACGGATGACCAAATGTCCCTTTTTCAGTCGCTTTTTAGGAGTAAAAACATTTTTCTGGACTTCATCTACTGTATCTGTGGAGGACATAGTGTCACGCAGCAATTACAAAATATAGTCAATTAAATGTCCATAAAATAGAGTAAAACATGTTCAAACTAACAACAACCACAAAAACAAAAAAAATAAATAACACAATATATGTATATCTAAACTATAATATAATGAATTATATACAATCAAACATACAAAATGTCCAAACTAACCAACACGGTGAATGCTACCAAAACGCCGTTTATAATTATCCAAATTAAACTGAATTCGACTCTGACAAAAAATATTTGCGCGTCGTCTAAATGACTAACGACCGATTAACCAATAGAAGCGCAAAAAAATGTCACGTGAGCTGTTGCTGAATGGGAGAAATTGTTTTGACGCGGCGTAAATGAAATCTGAATAGACTTTATATATATATATATATGTATAATAAACAATAAAGGGGTAAGGGCACTGCTTTGTGGTACACTAAAATTGTGATAATGACTTAATGTGAAAGTCCCACTAATATATTAAAAAAAGTAAGCAAAATCTAAAGTACAGTGCTGAAATTAAATTTCCTTTGATTATAATAAAATACCTGTTGCGATATTAGCCAAAGGAATAGTGGTTTTCCAAAGGAAAACGGTCGCTCGTATTTTGTATGATATATGGCTTTGTATTTTATTTATATTATTTTCAGGTTGTTCTATGGAATTTGCTTTGGAATGTGCTAGTTTACATCCGGCCAAAGTATTGCACATTGAAAAAAACAAAGGCACTTTGAACGTTGGCGCAGATGCGGATTTTATTATTTTAAATGATTATTTTGACTTAATTTCGACGTGGATTGGAGGAGATATGGTTTACAAGTCTGGAAATTAATCACCTATTTATTTTTGTTATCGAGAAAGTATTTACCTACAGTTTTATTTGGAATTTTATTTTGCAAATAAATTATTTTAAATTTGTTTTTGTTATCGAGAAAGTATTTATCTACAGTTTTATTTGGAACTTTCTTATGCAAATAAATTATTTTAATTAGAAAATTGTTTTAATTCAATATTGACCTTTAGTCTTAATTTAAATATTAAAATTACAATGAAACTTTTTGATACGTGAAACTTAAATTATACAAATTTGCTTTTTAAATCAAATTTAATTCGAAAAAATAGTTATAATCAACAAAATTATACGAAAAAATATTACATTTTAAATTATGTTATTCTTATTAAAAAGTTTAATCGAAATAATAATATACAGCGAGTGAATTACATGTTAATATATATAATCAATTCCATGAAAATTTTACAATACCTAATTGGCACAAATATTATTTATAATTTTTTCTTCGGTATTCCATTGTACCTACAAAAATAAAATGTATTAATAAAAATATATATTTATATTTTATAGAATAACTAGATTTTTAAGATTAAAAGCATTTTTTAGAATTGTGGCACAATTGTCTAAACAAAATTGCTATAATTTGAATAAAAATATTTATAAAAAATAATAAAATTAATGTATTTAAGTATTTTGTTTTAACTCACCTGAGTACTGTCTATTGCTTCCAGTTGATTGTTGATTAAATTTATTATTGCCGGGCAACAGAGGTTGGCAGTCAGATTTCAATATTTCTTCAATGTTTCCATAATCCCTGAACATCACAGCAAACGTTTTGTCTGTTATCGATATAATTTTGGCATTGTAATACTAAAAAAAAGTTAAAGTTTGATTAAGAAAAGTAGAAAATAGACATGTTCATGGTAGCCATCAAATATTGACAAATTCCCTTATTTTTATGGTTTTCTATAATGAACTATAATATATAACAACACATGAGAATTTTCAATCCTATGTAAGTAGAATCAACCCATAAGGTGCTTATTTTTACAAGAAAACATTTATTTTCCTATTTAATAAGGCATTTATAAGAAAATTGGACAGAAAACTATTCATTTCGTGTATTAATACGAAATTCTGTGTTCAAATAAAAATTTCCATATTTATAAACACGGAATTTCGTATTTCATTATTTAAACACAGAATTAAAATTTCTTCATACCGGGAATTCCGTGTTTGAATAAGAAATTCCATGTTGAAATAATCTTGTTCAAGCAAGGAATTCCGTATCTACAAAAATATTCCTTATTCGAACAACGAAATATGAAATTCTGTGTTAGTATACAAAATTTAGTGTTCAAAGTAACTTCTCTGTTTTTCAAACAAGGAATTTCAGTTTTCCTTCTTTAAACCGGGAATTTCAAGTTTAGACAAAGAAACTTCTTATTCATACACGGAATTTCGTGTTAGAATTTCCTCGTTAAAATACGGAATTCCGTGTTCGAACACGGAAATTACTTTTTTAATACTGAATTGCATATTTAACACGGAATTCCATATTTGAAAAGGACTTCTTTTTCAAATTCGGAATTCCGTATTTAAATAAATAATTTCCCAGTTTCTTAAACACAGAATTTCATATTTTTTGTTCGACCACGGAATTCCGTTTGAATATGAAATTCTGAAGAATATCTTTGTTCAAATACGGAATCTCGTGGTTGAAAACTACATTCCGTTTTTGAATACGAAATTTCCTTATTCAAATACGAAATTCAGTGCTTGAAAACTAAATTTCGTGTTCGAATAAGGAATTTCCCTGTTATTCAAACACAAAATTACATTTTCTTGTTTAAACACGGAATTCCGCGTTCAAACCGGAAATTTCTTATTCATACAGGGAATTCGTCTTTGAATGTGACATCAGGAAATTCAAACAAGGAATTTCATAGTTTCTTGTTCGAACACGGAATTTCCTGTTTTAATATGAAATTCCAAGGAATATCTTTGTTCAAATACGAAATTTTGCTTTAAAAAAAACATTTCGTTTTTGAATACGAAATTGCGATGAGTTTCTTTATCCAAATAAGGAATTCTGTGTTTAAAAACAAAGTTTTCTTATTCATAAAGGGAATTCCGAATTTAAATATGAAATTCCATATTTAAAATAAGGAATTTCCTTGTTTAAATACAGAATTCCATATTTGGACAAGAAAATTCCTTATTCGAATATTAAATTCTGTGTGTAAATAATGAAATATGAAATTCCATGTTTGATTACGAAATTCCGCTTTAAACGGAATTTTGTGTTTTAATACGCAATACCGTGGTCAAACAAGGAATTCCGTGTCTGAGTAAGGAATTTCCTTGTTTAAATACAGAATTCCATATTTGGACAAGAAAATTCCTTATTCGAATATTAAATTCTGTGTATAAATAATGAAATATGAAATTCCATGTTTGATTACGAAATTCCGCTTTAAACGGAATTTTGTGTTTTAATACGCAATACCGTGGTCAAACAAGGAATTCCGTGTCTGAGTAAGGAATTTCCTTGTTAAAATACGGAATTCCATTTTCGAACACAGAAATTCCTTTTGTAACACTGAATGAATTCTGTATTTGAACAAGAAATTTCTTTTTTCAAATTCGGAATTCCGTTTTGGAATACGAAATTAGGTATGTGAATATGAAATTCCGTGCTTAAATACGAAATTCCGTGTTCGAATAATTTCCTTCTATTTCAAATACATCATTTCACAGTCCCTTGTTGGCACACAAAATTTCCTGCTTGAATATAAAATCCGAGGAATAGCTTTGTTCAAATAAGGAATTTCGTGTTTAAAAGCGGCATTTTTTTTTTAATACGAAACTTCGAGGAATTTCTTTATCCAAATACGGAATCCCGTGTTTAAAAACGAAATTTTCTTATTCATGAAGGAAATTCCAAGTTTAAATATGAAATTCCGTTTTTGAAATAGGGAATCTCCTTGTTCAAATACAGAATTCTCTATTTGGACAAGAAAACTCATTCAAAAACGAAATTCGGTGTGTAAATAATAAAATATGAAATTCCGTGTTTGAATACGAAATTCTTTGTTTAAATACGAAACTTCTTGTTTTAAAACGCAATACCGTGTTCAAACTCAGAATTCCGTTTCCGAGTAAGGAATTTCCATGTTCGAACACAGAAGTTCCTTTTGGAACACTGAATTCTATATTTAAACATGAAAATTCTTGTTTCGAATTCTGAGTTCAAATTTTGAATACAAAATTCGAAAAAATAATTGCCAATTTTTCGAACACGGGATTTTACATTTCTTTGTTTAAACACGAAATTCCGCATTCGAAGACGAAAATTCCTTATTCATACGAGGAATTCTGAGTTTTAATATGAAATTCCGGAATTCCGTGTCCATGTAAGAAATTTCCTTGTTAAGATACGGAATTCCTACTTCAAACAAAGAAATTTCTTGTGGAACACTGAATTCCGTATTTGAATTCAAAATTAGATGTTTGAATACGAAATTCGGTGTTCAAAAAAATAATTTCCATCGTTTTCAAACACGGAAGTTCATAGTTCGTTGTTAGAACATGGAATTCCCTATTTGAATATAAAATTTCAGGGAATTTCTGTTCAAAGACGGAATTTCGGCGTTTAAAGCAACATTTCGTATTTGAATACGAAATTGCGAGGAATTTTTTTTTTTTTTTTTGAAAAATGGAATTACGTGGAGTTTCTCTATTTTTCAAACACGTAATTTTATATTTCCTTGTTTAAATACGGAATTCCGCGTTCGATCACGAAAATTTCTTATTCATACCGGTAATTTCGTGTTTGAATATGAAATTCCGTATTTGGACAAGAAGAGTTCTTATTTGATAATAAAATTCCGTGCCTGAACACGAAATTCCGTGCCTAAATACGAAATTTCGTGTTACATTCCATGTTCGGTGTTCAAACAGAGAATTCCCGTTATCCTTGTTTAAACAAGGAATAAAGCATTCACGCGATAATTCGGGTAACAAACACAGAATTTGATATTTTCTTGTTGAACACAGAATTTCGTATTTGAATAGGAAATTCCGAGAATTTATTTTTGTTTAAATACAAAATTTCGTGATTTAAAAAAAAAAACACATTTTGTTTTTGAATTTTCAATTGTGATGAATTTCCATGGTCAAAAACGAAATTCCATGAGTGAAATCAAAATTTTGTGTTCAGATAAGGAATTTTGGCGTTTTTTGAACATATAATTTGAAATTTGCTTGTTTAAACTTGGGAATTCCTTATTCATACAGGGAATTCCGTGTTTGAATATGAAATTACGTATTTGGACAAGAAGTTTCCTTATTCGAACATGAAATTCCGTTTGTGAACAATTAAATATGAAATTCCGTGTTTGAATAAGAAATTCTGTTTCTATACGAAATTCGGTGTTTTCATACACGGAATTTCATAATTATTTGTTTAAACACGGAATTCCGTATTCGAGTAAATAATTTCGTTGTTAAAATACGAAATTCAATAATCGAATAAGGAATTTCTTTGATTTTCAAACACGGAATTTCAGTTTTCCTCATTTAATCATGAGAGAATTTCGTCTTCGGACACTGTAATTCATTATACATACATGGAATTCCGTATTTGAACAAGAACATTCAAACACGGAATTTCATGTTTGAATACAAAATTAGGTGTTTCCATACAAAATTTCCTGCTTGAATAAATAATTTCCGTGTTTCCAAACACGGTATTTAATATTTCTTTGATCGAACAAGGAATTTCTTGTTGAATATGAAATTCCTAGGAATTTCCTTGTTTAAATACGAAATTTCGTGTTTGAGACCATATTTCGTTTTTGAATATGAAATTGCGAAGAATTTTCTTGGTCAAATACGAAATTTCGTGTCTGAAAACGAAATTTCGTATTAGGATAAGGAATTCTCGTGTTTTACAAACACGGAAATTCATATTTTCTGGTTCAAACATGGAATTCCGCATTAGTGCCCCGGAATTCCTTATTTAAACAAGGAATTCCGTTTTTTAATACGAAATTCTGTGATTGTATAAGGAACTTTCTCATTCAAATATGAAAATTCTTTATTCAAACATGGAATTCCCTATTCAAACAAGGAATATGAGGATAAAAAACAGAAAGCCTCCGTAATTTTGTCATGAGGGATACAAGTATTGTTCAAGACTGTATAAATTTAAAAAAGCAATTGACTGAATTGTCCATTTGTATTTACATTGTAAAACATGTAAAAAGTTGGAAAATACAGCAAAGATCCAGCAACATTAAGAGATAAATGGTGTTTATTTTTGCATACACTAATTTCAGGATCTATTCATTGTTTCAAACTTTTAGAATTTAGAATACTAGTAAGATATACTCGACAAAATTATATATTGCCTGACACTTCATACAATTTTAATTATATTAATTGTATTTTTGAGTATTCAAGTTGATAAATAACAACTTACCTTTCCATCCTCCCAATACTTGGCCATAATCTCATCCCCAATATTCATCCTGCCTACCGAAACATCTTTGCTTTTCCCCTGAACATCTTCATTTCTTCTATCATCCGGTAAATTCAAATGCTGCCTCAAACTTCTACTAGCAAATTGACCATTTATAGCCATTTTCTGAACCTGTTGCGTTACATGATCCACATCATTTTGATGAAAGTTCTGCCTTTGAGGGTGTTTATTATAAGCATTAGAATTTTGATAGGTATCAGTCATCTTTTGGACGGCATAAGAACTATTTTGCTGTGGGTAATGCTGGTTCTTTTGAAAATAATTACCTTGTTGAGGCTGAGAGTAGGTTTTATTTGGTTCAGAATTATGGTTATTTTGATTAGAATGTACAAAGAGGGGATTTTGTTGGAATTGCTGAGGGTGGGCGTTATACTGTTGGTGAAAATTGTTGTCTTGTTGAAAGTGTGGATTATCTTGCCTTGGGTACAATTTTTGTTTATTTGAATAATTTTTAACAACATTTGGAGTTTGATAATTATTTTGAGGATAACTGTTAGTTTTTTGAGCCCCATAATTAGGTTTTTGCTTGTTCTGTTCACCTATACTAAAATTCATATTTTGATTATTGCCATTTGATTTTTTTTCAACTGTATCTGTCAAATTATTGCTGCTTGGTGTCGAATATGAATTTTCTCTTTTTGGATTATTGATTGTATTTTTTTTGTTGTAGTCGGATTTTTCAAATTCTTTAGGAATTGGGGTCCTCTTCCTTCTATAATCATATTTATTTTGATCTTCAATAGACGAATCAACTTCTTTAAAATTATTTTTACTAAACTGGTTCTGATAATAATGTTCTTGATTGCTGTTAACAGGTAGTTTATCTTCTAAAAATGCAAATAGTGATAATTTTTCTGATGGTTTTTCTATTCTTTCATCATTATCCTTCTCCCTAACCAAAGTTTTGCCTCTAAACTTCCCACCATCTTTTCTCTCTCTTGTTCTTTCTGGTATTTTCTTATTGGTACTTTGCACCTGTACATTTTGTCTTACTCTACCACTGAAAACTTTTCTAATTGCTCCTGATGCTGCTTCTGCAATAGCATCTTGACGTTGTTGATCAAATTCAGACGATTCTTTAGATTCTTTTGTTTTATCTACAAGGGATTTAAAATTGTTTTCCTGGTGGCCGATTTTAATTTTCGTACCAAAGTTCACCCATGGCGGAGGACCATCCTCATCTAAAGGTAATTGGATTTTTAATTTAAAAAATTAACATGCAAAAGGCATGCCAGAATTTGAAAAAAACAAATAAATAGATAAACACTAAAAAGTAACCATTCTATACAGGGTGTTTACGAACTTGGCGTCCAAATTTGTAGGGGCGGTAGTTCGCATAATTTGAGACCGATTCGCAGATTTAATTTTTCCAAAATATTTAAAATAAAAATAGTTAAAAATTAATTAAAAATCATAAACAGGTACGGTCCTGCACAGCGATGCGATCGCCTTGACTCGCGCACGCTACGCTTAGAATCGATAACATTGCAAATCGCACCTGTTTTTGGGGACAATTGCGCTACGCGCTCAGGGTAGGACCTGCTTTTTGATTTTTTTTTATAATGGCTCTATTTTGTTTCTTAATTTTTTTTTAGAAAAATGAATTCTGCCAATCACTCTCAAATTATGCAAACTACCACCCCTAAAAATTTGTACGCCAAGTTCGGAAACACCCTGTATAGTAAACTTTTAAAAAAATTGGTATAACCGAATATTTCCTGAGAAAAATTCATTAAAAGTTGCAAGATTCTCATAATAATAGTGTTACAGAAAAAAATGGAATTATAATAATATAATATCTTTATTTACTTGAGAAAATATTACATTTTATGGCTCGTCAAATTACAATTAAAACTAAATATATATATATAATAAAATTTACCTAAATATAATAATATAAAATTGAAATTTACAAACATTTACAACATAGTTCACTGAATCACTCAGAAGCCACAGTGACAGCCTCCATCTGTATTGATTTAAATTCCTCTAAGCTATATAGGCAATTATTGGATAACATTTGTTTTAATGCATGTTTAAATTTATCTAAAGGCTGATTTCTAAAATTAAGTGGTAGTATATTGTATAGCACAATATAATATTTCTTTGTCCTTTCCAGTCTATACTGGATAGGGACTAAGTTATCTTTGTGCCTTGTATTATAGTTATGGATATCAATGGGAAAAAATGTGTTAATATTATTTCTTACGAATAGAAGGTTTTGATAGATTATTACTGCATAGAGTGTCATAATTTTAAGTTCTGGGAATACTGGTCTACAACTGGCTTGCCAAGAAGCATGTGTTATGGCTCTTATGGCTGATTTTTGCAAAATAAAGACTCTTGAGATATGTGTGTCAGCAGCACTGCCCCAACATATAGAGCATAGTAAGCAGTAATTGCTGCATCTTGACCATATATTTGGCGTATTTTCCTGATAGCAAAAACTGCTCATGATAATTTGGAACAAAGTGCTTCAATATGATCTGTCCATCTGAGATGTGGATCAATTTGAATGCCAAGTGTTTTAACAGAATTGTTATTAACTTGTTCACTATTTACTGTAAATAATTGGGAGATAGTTTTTGTGTCATTTAAAAACAGGTCGTTTACAGAAAACCACCTCTTTGTCTGAATCATGACATCAGAGTAAACTTGATCATGATCTGTTCCTCTTTTAGTATTAATACAAAAAGAAGTATCATCAGCAAATATACATGTGATAAGGTTTTCAAAATGCATATGGTCAGGAAGATCATTAATGTATATCAAAAAGAGTAATGGACCTAAAATTGAGCCCTGAAAGACACCTCTCCTGATATGCATCAATGAACTTTTGCAATTTTCGATGATGACTGTTTGACATCTGTAAGTTAAATAAGATTCAAAAAGCTGTAAACAAATCCCTCGTACTCCATACCTCTTCAGTTTTGATAAAAGAATTGAATGATCCACACAGTCAAAAGCAGAGCTTAGATCTGTAAATACACCTAAACAGTGTTCAGCTTTTTCAAAACAATTTTCTATATATTTTACTAGAGATAATACTGCATCTATTGTAGATTGCCCCCTTCTAAAACCATACTGGAATGGCATATGTTGGAAGAATTTAAATATGATATTAGATTATTAAACATAATTTTTTACAAGATTTTGGAGAATATGGGAAGTACAGCAATTTGTCTGAAGTTGCAAGGCTGAGAAGGGTCTCCTTTTTTAAATAGAGGACAGACCTTAGCAATTTTCATGCTATCAGGAAATATTCCTTCAGTTAGACAAGCATTTATAATTATAGTTAAAGGTTTAGACAAAAAAGAAATACATTTTTTCATTATAAATACATTAAATCCATCAATATCCTCTGTTCTTTTATTTTTTAAATCTTTTACAATTGATTCTATATCAGTTTAGGTAACTGGCTAAAAAAACATTGAATTTTTTAATTGTGATATATTTATATAAGAAGTAGCAGGTATATCTGATTTCTCTAGATTCTGAATTATGTTTTCATTATTAATAAAAAAATTATTAAGATCTTCAGGAGTTAAATTTTCTGGCTTTGTATTTGTTTTATTTCGACCAATTTCTTTGTTAATAATATTCCACAAAGTCTTTGCCTTATTATCAGAATTTAATATATAATTATTGCAAAAATCATGTTTCACTGCACCCAAATTTTTTAAATATGTTAATTTATAATCTTTATATAATTGAATATTTTGAGTAGCACTAGGATGCTGTTTTTGCCATTCATGCAAAAACAACAGTCTATTTTTTGCCTCAGTAATTGTGGGAGAAACCCAATAAGAGCCCTGCCTTTTAGGTTTGGATTTAAAACATATATTGTAATATGAACTGAAGATTGTAATAAAAGCATTATATTTATCTTTCGCCAAATATGCATCATAAACTTCTAGCCATTTTTCAGAATTTAAATAGTTCAATATTGTTGTGTGAATAATAATTCTAATACAAGTTAAGTTTTTTTTTTCCAGAGGTTTCTTAACTTTCTACTAACTGTCCCCTATGATGAGACACCCATTTCAATTACAGATACAGTTATAATGTCAAAATTTATAAAAAAAATATCTAAAACATTTATTGTATCTAGTATTTTGGTGAACTGCTTGATGCAGGTTATAGCATAAAAAAGATTTTTAATCTTAGAGGCATTTTGGTCATTTGGATCTAAAAATTTACATTGAAATCTCCTATTATAAGTAATTTACTTTTAGAAGATTTCTTGAAGTTATAAGCCAGCTCAAGAACATTGCGCAATATGTCCATAAAATGGCTAAAATTATGGTAAAAAGTAGACCTATATTGTAATATTCTTTTGTTTTACATAGCAAGCTGCAAGTTCACACACTCTCTCCACTGAGGAGGTGAGAATATATGTTAGCTCTATCAATTCTAGAGATTTATGCATATATACATGAACCTCCATTTTTATACATGCTTCGACAAAAACTGCCTAGCCATTCTATAATTCATTAAATTATAACAATCTTTTTCATGATTGTTTAACCAGTACTCAGTGATGCAGATTATCTTAATAGATGTGTTTTTTATACCAAACCTTTCAATTTCTAAGATTTTGTTTCCTATACATTGAACATTCCAATGAAAGATGAACATAGCCCCTGCTGAACCCCTGAATGACCCAGTAGTATTGAGAACTTTAGAAGGCACATAGTCTTCAGTACTTATTCAAAAAATTGTCTCAGCAAAATTTCTTTTTAGAAACATACAATTAGTAATGGGTAGTTTTTAGTATATTATACATTTTTTTCAAATTCCAACTTACCTAAATCGTACTGGAGCCCATGCAAAATATTAAACTTACCATCAACAATGTTTTTTCTATTCTTTTGCACACTTTTAGTAATTTCCCATTTTTCGTATAAATGCACAACTTTACCACCCAGTACTTTACAATTTTGTGGAGTCAATAACAAATATCCAGAAGATATCCTTGCATTTTCAAGCAACAATTTAGTACCTGGAAAAGTATTTTTTAAACTGACCCCTCCAAGTTGGACCAATTCGAAAGCTTGAATATAAGTTTCGCCGTCTGTCAATGTGAATTTAAGCAACCTAGGGGCGACTTGAGATTCTTCATTCGCTTTCGGAGCAGAAATATTTCGAATTTTATGAATTTGGAGTATAATTTTCGGAGTTTCATTCGTAAATTCGTGCAGTACTGGTTTACAAATTTCTTTCAAATCTGTCTGAAAATTAATATTTGTTAAGTGATGAATATTAATATTTGTATAAAGCTTACATTTAGAGCAACATTATAAATTTGCTGTTTATCTTTTATGGAACCACTTTCTGTTAAAATTTCATTTCCAGTCGACGATATGTGCCTAAAAATAGCCATGAACTACTAAATGAAACCAAAAAATAACCTCAATATTTACCATTCGTTGCCTAAAATTGAAGTCATGGTATTGATAAATTTAATAGCATTAAAACTATGGTAATCCTATGGGTCACGTCCTAATAAACATTCGTATTTAAGTTATTTTATTTGCTCGCCTTGAATATAATTTCAATTTTACGTCTTTTGAAGTTTAATAGAAAAGTGACAGCTTTGACTTTTGACATTTTTGACACTTTTTGACAACAACATTTATTCTTCAATTTCAATTTTTTAGGCCTCAGCTGCCAGGGCTATTGAGCATTTGTGATGTTGTGAATTTTTTATCACGTGATAGAGGATTAGATCTTAAATGTACATGTTAAGCCTTGGTTTCTTTGAACACTTCGTCGCGGTGAGCGGACAGTCCGTCAACCTCGCGTTTTGACGATTTTATCCAACCAGAGTATTTAAATGGGAATGGTTTTCTTGAATCCGCTTAGCTGAGCAGGATGGCGTCATGCCGCTGATTTGTCGCGAACAGTCGGTTGATATCTGTTGAGTTTGATATCAGCGGAATCGTCGTCGTGTGCGGAGACTATATTGTTATTAATTTTAAAACAATGAGTGACAAATTCACACATACAGATGACTTTATTTTTAGGTTTCTTGGATATTATGTCCTTTATAAAACTCAAAACGAATTCAAAAATATCTGTAGAAAGTCTAAAATACTCTCTAAATTTGGTTTCATTTCCAAGAAGCCTCCGCTGCACAGTGATATTAAAGGCACCTTCTGTATCGCGACACAAAAACGACTCATCCACTGGCTTATTGGAAACTTTGACGGTTGCAATTGCCAGTTCCTCTTGTTCTTCCTCTTCCAACAATAATAACGCAAACAATTTATTTGCATCCATTTTAGAACCTTTCGTTTACATTCATAATACATAAACAGCACGTACAGACATAGAGAAATTATCATTTTCTATATTTTTTAACAAACCACCTCGGGCGAAAATTGCTGTCCTCAGCGGTCGACGGACTGTCCGCTCACCGCGACGGAGTGTTCAAAGAAACCAAGGCTTAATAAACAAACGCTCTAGACTTTATTGGTCACGTGATAAAATGAAAATGACAAGTTAGAAGTTTATACTTTTTAAATTTGACTTTGAGACTAGAAATAAACCTAAATTAAAATCTAAACAAACTAATCACTTTTATATTCGATAAATCGATAAACTTGGCTTCACAGAACACCTACTTTGTGGCATAGAACGAACATCTCATTCACATCTCATTTCAAAAGAGATGTAAAAAATCTGGATGTGTCCGAAGTGGATAAACAGACGCTCGAGATGTAAAAAATGCATCGGATGTGGATATTCATGTAGAGTTCGGGAGGTGGATTCCTTTTACTCTTTTCACTCCATAACTAACTTCAGTCCATGCTGAATCATTGTAATTCAGTGATGTGAAGTGAAAAGAGTAAAAGGAGTTCACATTCCGAATTGAACTTCAAACGCGGCAATACACATTTTAAAGCCAATATGATTTCGAGAGATCCAAAAGGATAGAGGTAAAGGGCTGTTTCTACCGTTTTGGATTTCTTCAAATCAAAGTGACTGTACATACTACAACTGTAATTCCTCCGTAAATTTTAAGTTGATACATTTTTTCTGATTAGCTATAAAAATATTTTCTAATTTAGAGGATTGTTCTACCCTTTTCCATCTCTCGAAATGATAGCGGTTTAAGAACATGATTGTACATAATAAAACAGAAATTCTATCGTAAATTTTAAGTTGATACATTATTTTCTGGTTACTTAGCTATACAAAATATTTTCTAATTTAAAAGGCGGTTTCTCCCCTATCAAATATTTGATTTATAGGCGTTTAAATACGTAATTTTACAAATGAAAATTGTAATTTCATTTAAAATTTTTTTTATATACCTAGTTATAGAAATTTTTATTATTCAAAGGTAATTTGTACCTACCCCTCTGTCGGTGTTTAATGACTGCACTTTTAACATACAGATATAAATACCAATAATATATTTTCCCGTAAATTTCAAATTATGTAATTAATTTTCTTATACCAGCCTGAAAAGATTATTTTCATTGAACCGACGCCACTGGCTGTTCTGTTGTTTCCGGAAAATGGTATACTATTGCCGCGTTTGAATATCCACATCGGATGCATCTGAGATGTAGTAAATCTTTGATCACGTGATTCAGTATACGTAAATGTATTGGGACATATGTGTCCGATGTGGATTAACAAACGCTTGAGATGTAAAAAATGCATCAGATGTGAATTTTCAAACGCGGTATAAGTTTGGTTTAGGGTCCATTCCACCGTTGTCTTAAACGGAGATTAAAATGACATTGTTAATGTAAAAATGTCATTTTAAACTTTGGTTAACACAACGGTGGAATCGGTCCTTAGCAACTTCACACCGGTCCTTAGCAACTTCACACCGGTATTATAATAGATGGATTATATTTATTTTGTGATGTTATTGGTAAAACATTAGATTGCAACAGTAAGGCACAGAAAAACATTTTAAAATTCTTTATTTATTTTATAAACGTTCATTTAATTTCAACATTCCTAAAATTAAATTTAAAGCTCCTATACTCTCTATATAGTAATCAGGTTTGTTAGATTCACCATGCGACCATTTCAAGATATCTTCTTTTTTGGCACTGCCTGTCAAAACCAGTAGCTTTTTGTAACCACCGATACTTGCAAATTTCATGTCTTCGTTGATCCTAATGAAACAAAAAATATCTTTTAATAAAATTTTGAGGTAAATCAAGTTTACAAAATTTTTGTATAAATCACGGTTCCTACTTCTGACATTATTCTAGGAGCAAATATGCGGATTTTTTTTGGAATAATCCAAACGTTTGGAAAAATCTACCTACTATCTTTTACATAAAAAACAATTCAGTTGGTTTTTTATCTTCTTTCCACCCAAGAAAGTGTGCCTTGGTACGGCACTGATTGCTTCAATATACTAGCGATTTAGGTATCGAAATTACCACATGAAAGAATTAAAGTATAATAATTATTGTACCTATTCAAAATAAAAACAAATATATTTAAATATTCCTGAAAGTAAGGTGGACATCCCGTATAAACTTTGCCCTTGAATTCATTGCATTCTATTAAAATTTCGGTATATTTTTGCAGCGAGCCAAAACTTTTTTACAATAATTTTTTAATCTAGTTCTCTATGATTTTACGCGTATCCAAGGCAACGAAGACCAATCAAGAAATTACTTGAATAGAATTAAAAGATGGTGGCTACTTAATTTTGTGTGTTAAGTGATTATTTAAGAAATATTTAAAAAAACTGTGATTTATCTTTGTATGTGCAAGAAAAATTATATTTTCTACTTGAGGTAAGTTCCATTAGGTATTAGTTTTAGATACTGAAACAGAATACTCGAAATATTTGATAAAGCTTTAGTTAGGGTTGTCAGATTAATGAAATGGAAAAGCATGGCGAAGACGAGGGGGAATGAAATAATTTTTTTATTTATGACTTCTTGGGACTAATAAAAAAACCTTTTTATATAACATAAACTCTCATGAACACAAATTGTCAAAAAATTTGAGAACAAAATGACATGAAAACACAAACCAGTGACTAAAAACTACTACAAAAACCTCGTAAAAATCGAATTGAAAACATTCACGGTGTCAACCACGATGCCAAAGAAGACAGCAGAGCACCTAGGGAATTTTGAGTTGAAACCTGCGCCATATTTCTGGCTATTTTAAGGCTATTTTTATACACTATTAAAAAAATTTATGCTTCTCGTTTTTTGCAAATATCAAAGTGCTCTGATAGTTTCGAGCGGTCAGTAGATTACCTGCTTTTTTTAAAGCTTTTTTCTAAAAATAACCGCACCACATTTTTTAGCTATTTTTAGGCTCTTGAAATATTATAAAACTTAGTATTTTTTTTTTAAAATACAGGGTGTTTTACTAGCTCTGACCGAATCAATCCGGCAAAATACCTTGTTTTTTTAGTTTTTGTTTGTTTTATTTTTTAAAAATAACCATACCACATTTTTAGGCTCTAGAAATATTATATAATTTTACAAAAAATTGCTATTTTTAAATAATACAGGGTGTTTTGTCGGAACAAAGTCAGCAGATCACCACAGTTTATTTTTTTTTCTGAAAACAACTATTTAAGACAGATTTTTAGGTTTTTGAAATATTATAAAACTGTTCGAAAAAAATTAGTATTTTATTAAAAAATACAGGGTGTTTTACTAGCTTCGACCGAATCCATCCAGCAAAGCACCGTTTTTTTTTCTAAAAATAACCACACCACATTTTTAGGCTCTTAACTTTACAAAAAATTGCTATTTTTAAATAATACAGGGTGCTTTGTTGGAACAAAGTCCGCAGAGCACCACGGTTTATTATTTTTTTTTTAAACGATATTTATGCCACATTTTTAGGCTTTTGCAATATTATGAAACTGTTTAAAAAAAATAGTATTTTTTTTACTAGCTTTGACCGAATCCATCCAGCAGAGCACCCTGTTTTTTTAGTGTGTTTTTTTTAAAATAACCATACCACATTTTATGCTATTGAAATATTATACCGGGTGTTCAAATTAAAGTGTTACAGTTAAATACCGCCTTTTATATTAAAAAATGTTTCAACAAAAGTTTTATATTTTTTTTGGGATAAACATTTTGGCTAAAATCTTTTTTTATAGCTAACCATAATATGACCATTTTTTTTTCGTGTTGCAAAATTTTCAAGTAGGTGTTACTCAATAAGTAAAAGTCCAATAAAAAAATGTTTCCTTTAAAAGTTTCTTATTTTTTTATGAACTTTAAGAATATTTAAAAAAATGGGGTTCCAATTTGAAATAAAAAAATCCACCTCGATACGGCCATATTATGGTCAGCTATAAAAAATAAATTTCGTCAAAATATTTCCCCCAAAAAACTATGAAACTTTTGTCTGCAACTTTTTTTATAAAATGCATTTTTTCGACGGTATTTAACTGTAACACTTTAATTTGAACACCCGGTATAACTTTACAAAAAAATTGCTATTTTTAAATAATACAAGGTGTTTTGTCGGAACAAAGTAGAGCACCACGGTTTATTTTTTTTTATAAAAACAAATATTTATGCCACATTTTTAGGCTTTTGAAATATTATAAAACTGTTCGAAAAAAATTATTATTTTAAAAATACAGCACCTTAGTTTTTCTAAAAATAACCACACCACATGTTTAGTCTCTTAAAATATTATAAATCTTTTCTAAAAGTGTTGCTATTTTTCAATATTACAGGGTGCTTTGTTGGAACAAGCACCTAATTTTTTTTTCTAAAAACACTATTTATGTTACATTTTTAGCCTATTTTTAGACTCTTGAAATATTATAAATGTTTTCGAAAAAAAAAAAAAAAAATAATATTTTTTAAAAAATACAGGGTGATTTACTAGCTTCGAACGAAACCTGTAGAGCATCTCGGTTTTTTACAGCTTTTTGCGAAAAACAACCACACCCCGTTTTTAGGCTATTTTTAAAGTCTTGAAATATAAAACTTGAAAAAAAATAGAAATTGTTTTTAAATAATACAGGATGCTTTGTTGCATCGAAGTAAGCAGAGCACCTAGGTTTATTTTTTTTCTGAAAACTTTTAGAAAAATAGGGTGCTTCGAGCAGAGTATCTAGGTTTTTTAAAGCTTTTTTCTATAAACAACCCCACCACATTTTTAGGCTATTTTTAGACTCTTGAAATATTATAAAACTTTACTAAAAAAAATTGCTACTATATTTAACCCTTTGGAGACGAGTTTTTGTTTTAAGGGTTAGGGGTTAGATTTTTAGTGGTTTAATGTCAGTGGTGTTCAAATAAAACCTCTGCATCGAAATTTAAATAAATTTTTATTTATAAGAAGTGGTGGGGGATGGTACATATATGTACCACCAGTCTTTGAGGGTGGTACATAAGTGTACCAGAAATTTTACAAAACATTACTTTTATAAATTTTATTTAAACCTAAAAATTGTTAAGTGTGGTATGCAGCAAAACAGTTTGCATAATGGTATCCTACACTGACTGAATATTGTCTTGGTTCTCTTCTGAATCTTAGTTTCAGCACAGCGAGCACATTTCCTACGAGTTTTACCTTCAGTATGTAGGTGAATCTGAACGTTTTTTAGACTTGTTGATGGACTTTTTGCTAAGATAGTCTTTTTCTGGCCTTCGTTCAGAATTGCTTCTGCTAATGGTATGAAAAGTCCAGAAACGGATTTTCTTTTCTGATAATTCTTTGTAAATTATCCAGGCAGTTACAAATGACGTCATTAAAAGCATGAAAAAACTTTGATCCACTATTTCTTGATTTTCTATCAAACTCATACAATCCCGCCATTTGGTCTGCGCGGTCGACTCCTCCCATGAGATCCCAATAAAAAGCAATCATTTCTGGACATTCTATAGGAGATCTTGTACCATCTTTGTTTTTCTTATTTAGCAATACAATTTTATTCGGATGACAATTGCTAAGAACCAGAACCTCTTTAGTGTCCTGCATTTTGCAAAAATTACACCCTCGTTGGTGCATTTGAAAACTGATTCACCCTGTTTCAGTTTTACAGGTAGTTTCGAAATATTTTTTCTGATAGCTATACAGGTACCTACTGCTGCACAGTTTGTTGAATGAAGTAAGTCAACAGAGGTAAAGAAAATATAATTTTGACGAAATAAGTTTGAACCTATCCCTTGAAATAGCGTTTTTATAGTTATATTTCCCATTGATGGATGTCTGGACCAATAAGTGATGGTAATTCATTATAGGACTTTATGAGAACTGAGCCAATCACAATTTGTATTTTACCTATATCAGTATCTAAAATCAGTTTTTTCTTCTTTCCTTTTGCATTTTTGAGGATATTTAGTTGAGCATTGGTGCATTGTGCAATATACATATAAAGCGAGCGAGGAAAAAATTTTATGAAATACATCAATGGAGCTCATGTCTTTTTGAAATTTTGAAATCTTTTCACTCACGTGAAAGTGGGACAAAATCTGGTGTTACATCATCTGACCATAAAATTCTACGATTTTTGAAATCGCCAGAGTCTTCTCCATGAGCAGTTTCTCCATTCAGTGATTCACTTTCAATGATTTCCTCCAAGCTTTCGACCTGGTGAGAATCCACATCGTTATTGCTGCACAATGATTCATTGGCTCCCATAAATTGCTACTGCCCGATGAAAAGTCGGATATACTTGAAACTTCAGACAAATGGTCAGCGATGTGGTCATCCATACTTAATTTATTTTTTCTGGACATCGTCTGAAACAAAAAAAAAAGAAATCAATACAGAAGACTATCGGTACATACATGTACCAACATATAGAGCAGTTACGGACTGCTGGTATATATGTGTACCGCTGTAGAAAACAGCTGTTTTTTTGTTATTTTCAGCAGTGTTTTGCAACATATTTTGTCGTAATATTTTAAAACTTACCTTCAACTAAATCCACACACAGAATTTGCGCAATTTATGTCACTTTTTTCCGTAAAAATTAACTAAAAACGGAGCGTAGACCGTGGCTCGGTACAAATAAACAAATACCACATAACATCAAATAAAACTCCGCGAATCACAGTTATATAGGGAGGTAGAAGACGCACCGGTACATAGAGGTATAAAATATGAATATTTGCTTGTAATCTTTGCGTGATTCATGCTGGTACTATGTATACCGACAGGCTCGAAGAATTAAATAATACAATTTCAAGAGCCAAAAATGTGGCATAGTTTGTTTTTAGAAAAACACTATAAAAACCCAAGGTATCCCACTGGCTATCGTCCCTGTAAATATAAAGCAGTGGGTAAGGAAAATAATTTTCAATAGAAGCAAATAAATACAGAGTCTTGCCAGTTAAATTAAATATTTTATAAATATCAGACGCGTTCTAACTTTGACCGAAACTCACGAGCGCACAAAATATATTTTTTTTACCATTTCTTTAATATATAACTAAAACTAAAAATGTCTACCAATTATGTAAATTTGCAAAATAACAACAAAATGATCCCAAACAATGTTCACCTATTGTAGTAGGTATGGCCCTTAAAGATTCTTAAAGAAATGACGCCTAATATTATGAATTAATTAACAAAGCTGATGACACTGATATAAAATATATAAATATTAAAATTTACTTCTTATAAAAAAAATAAATAGAGAATAATTATTAGAGTCTTTTTTTCACATTTTCCAAATTTCCTAATAATTGTTTTTGTTTCTTTTCAGCGAACATCCGTGAAAAACATTTAAATCGCCGCAAATATTACGAGTTAATCGATAGCACGATATTAATTGTTTGAGCTCATGTTCATTTCACCTCTGACAATAAAGACTTTTGATCTCAGAATGTATATGTCCTTCGATGTTCAATGTAGATCTTTGATTTACATTATAGAGTGTCCTCGGATGTACCTTCTAGGATCAAATGGACAAGGCTGCAGATATACTATCCTGAGATACGTCTATTTTGAAAAATTTAACGTATCAAAGGGTTGATATAGAATTGAACATGATTCAATGATTATTGTCGTCGGGACTAGAAGATTTTCCGGTCGCGATTTTATCGGAAAAATCTACTGAAAATAATGGATCTTATGGAAAGAGGAAAGAAATACTGTATTAACTAATGGGAACGGAGAGTAAATTAGCAAATGGTGAGTCTTTTGAATTAAATCGAACTTTTTGTAAACAAATTATTATAAAATATCTTTTTCTGGATTTGTAATTTTTTACTTCTATTGAAATTTCTTGTACACCCATTAGTGCCAGCAAGTCTTTCTTATCATGAAAAAAAAAAAGGAAAGGAGGATAAGAGGTTGGCTGAAATATTCCAAGATAAAAGCAGCAACCCAGAAAATTTGTTTAAAAGCGGACTTCATTTTCCCCTGGCGGTGTACTGAACAATTCTCCAAAATTTTAGGAAATTATTGATTTAATAATACCAGATAATCACTAGATAATTCAAATAGCCTTATGTGCGTCGCCAAGTGAATTAATCGCCTTGCTCCGTGTTATTCTATAAATTGAACCCCTGCTTCCCCTTTTCTGCGTTTCAGGAACGGCTTATCGTAAAAATTCAAGTTACCAGTCTTGTAGAGAATTTTATTAGTTATAACTTTTAATTAATTTTTAATGGCGTAAGATGCATAATAAGCGAGTTGTTATTCTTAAAATACTAAAAAGCGTGACCTTCAATATCTGAAAATGCTCCACTTATTTTTTTGTTGAAGTTTTTAACCAACTTTATAATGTCGAAATAAAGGTATGTTCAAAAATTTAGCTCGATACTCCAAATTCATCAGGAAAATCCTAACGTGATTATGGATTAAAACAAGAATGCTAAAAATAATATAATACTTACGAATCTCCTAAAAACAACACTCTGCTTGGATCACTTATGAAATATTTTTTAACGATAATATCGTTAAAGTCCGAAGATGGTTTTGCCATTTGGTATGGATTTCTACCGCTAATTTCTTTCAAGCTTTGAAAAAAATAATGATTACCTAAAATGATAATAAACATTGACAAAATAGGGGTTCAAATATTTTTTATTAACCGGATGACAGTGTCATTGTGATGGACAACGGAAGTTATAATATTCGTCAATTAAGTAAAGTGACAAATAGCGCCAAAATTAGATCGGAAACTCAAGAATATGTAAGCAATTATATTTATTTTGGAGAAGGCTACAAAAAAAACTAATCTTTTAGATGTATTATATTATATATTAAATAAGAATATGTTTGTGATACTATCGCTACAAATATGTGTCACACATTACGTCAGTTTTTTAGATAGATAGTTATTTATTGAAATAGGATAAACCTAATATAAAAAAAAAAAAATAGAAATACAAATACAATACACTTAAAACTTTAAAGATAATTATTATTAACATTAACATAATCTGAGTTAAGAAAAATAAATTTGTTACACATTACAAAGATACTTTTAATCTTGAGTTTAGACAGCCTTAATTAACAATAAAACAAATAACAGTTGACAGCATGAACCCAAATATTAAAAAAGAAGAATAAAAAGTAACAACAGTTAAAATAAAATTTTATCAGTTTAAATAAAAGTTGTCAATTTTTTTTTTTAAAATTGCTAATGAATTACAATCCTTCAAGCCCCTGGCAGTTTATTATATTCCTGGACAGGGCCGACTAGAGGGGGGGGGGGAGGTAACCGGGACTAATTCTCCGGGCGGGCTCAAATGGGGGTACAAGGGGGACCCGGCAGCGGTGGTGAGAATTTTTTTGTTCAGAAGTTCGACAAAAGAGGGGGGAAGTTCTTTTTTTATAAAATTGTCGGGGGCCCGATCTGAAGAATTGTCCTGAAGCCCGGTCTGGCTCTCGGCGGCCCTGTTCCTGGAAACCTTTATACAATAACGATGCCTGTGATTTCGAGTAATTGACTTTTTTAATGTATATATCGTTAGTTGATCTTGTTCTGTAATCATGAATATCCCCATGATAGCAAATAAATTGATGAAAGTAGGATGGAGCCAAAGAATTAATTATTTTATAAATAGTACAACCTTTGCTGAATCGAAAACCATTGAAGAGAATTTAACATTGTGGCAATTGGTGTAAGACGATTAGTTTTTAATATTATGCGCATGTCTCGATTTTGTAGTTTTTGAAGTGAATTTAATTTGCTGAGATTAAATAAATGAAGAATGGAGGCACAATAATCGAAGTGAGGCTGAATAATTGTATTATATACTGTTATTTTAGTTGGAGTTGACGAGTTATTTGAAATTCTAGAGAAGAAATATAATTTTTTCAAATTTTTTTTATTAATATAATTAAAGAAATCATTAAAAGTAAGTAGATTATCTAATTGGATACCTAAATACTTAATAGTTGGGACTATTGCGATTTTTTCATCATTTATTTGTAAATTAACATCATTGATATCAAGTAAGCTATATTTATGTTTAGTTGTAAAAATAAGTGCTTTTGTTTTAGTTACATTCAATTTCAATTTGTTGAGTTGAAAATACTGGGCAACTTTCTCGATTAAATTCATTAAATTTATATCAGAGCATGCTAGCAGAGTGTCATCAGCAAAGAGATTAATTAATTTACAATCAACAAATAGTCCAATATTATTGAATTATAGTATAAAAAGCAGCGGCCCTAGGACACTGCCTTGCGGAACCCCTATGTCAATGTTAATCTCGGGTGATATCTGATTATTAAAATGTACTTTTTGTCTACGACCTTGCAGATAATCATTCAGTCACTGGTATACTTTTCCTCCTACACCGTATTGTTGAATTTTCTTAAGTAAAATATCCCTATCAATGGTCTCAAATGCACGTTTCAGGTCTAAAAAAACTGCTACTACATATTTATTCTCATCCACATCATTTTTAAATTTACTCACCATTAACTGTAATGCAGACTCACAGGAATACTTTTTTCTGAACCCAGTTTGGTTAGTTATTAAAATAGAATTATTATTAACATGTTCAAGTAGTTGTTTATACATAACCAACTCTAATACCTTTTTAATTGACGGGAGAGTATTTACAGGCCTAAATTCTTCCGATTTTATTGTATTATTAACTTTTTGAATTGGAACAATAGAACTAATTTTTAGTTGAGATGGAACTTTGCCAGTATCAAGTGAGGTATTAATTAAGTTTAAAATAATGTGCCCAATTGTTGCATACACTTCCTTTAGAACTTTAGAATTAAGAATATTAAATGCAGAATATTTATTATCTAACGAGTTCAAAATTTTATATAAGTCATGTAAAGTTAGTAAATTAAAGTTGTGAAATGATAAGTATAAATTATTGTTTAGAATATACCAGGAAACACTTGCATCAATACTTCCAATAATATCCATAATACTTTCAACAAAATATTCGTTAAATTTAGTTGCGATGTCAACATTATCATAAAGGATAATATGGCCTGTTTGATCACTAAATTGAACATGATCAGTCTGCCTATGTAAAAATGTATTCGGCATTCAAATTTTTATTTATTGGCTGTTATATATCGCCCAAAATCGCAATGTTGGCAGCGCCTTATAAATCGCTCAAAATTGTAATAATTCCTAGCGCCAGAGAAAAAACAGCATTTTAAAAATATTAATATAACTTTGACCTTTAGTGTCACACAGATTTTTTTATTTTTTTTATATTACCTACTTGTAAAAAATATAGGTTCAAATAAACTTGGAGGACAAAACTTTTAGGTTTTTTCAATAGGAACAAAAAAACCGTCATTTACGTAATCAATGTTTTTTTTATTAAAATATTTTATCCAATATTTTAAAAATATCATTTTCTGAAACATCTTCTTCTTAATTTTTATACATATCGGCATTAAATCTTAACAACATATCTTTAATGAGCTGAAAATGTTTACAAATTAGACGGTCATACTTTAACAGCGTAATCTACATCATAAAATAGAAGTAAAAGTTCATATAAATATAGGTCCGAAAACGTTTCGTTTTCGAGATACAGGTTGTTACACGTGAAGTCCTGATGGTATATTTTTGTAAATATTTTCTAAAATTTTTTTTAGTCACCGGTTTTCCAAAGTTAAAAAAATAAAATTTCTGATTCCACAGGCCTACTAATTATTGTTTACACTTTCGAATAAGATAACATCAACTTATCATGAAATTTTCAATTGCTTTTCTCTTGGAAAATGGCGCGTCTTAGCGAGATGCAACAAAAGTAGCTTTAGTATATAGAAAACATTGTTTTCCAAATTTTATAGTCAAAAATGTTAATAACTGTCAAAAAACTTAGTGCAATTTTATCCTATGCCCCTCCTAATTTACCCACCTATGAAGATGATCAAAAACTAGGGTTTAGTCCATTAAACTATAGTATAAAATGGTAAGCATTTGTACCAAATTTCCCTTAGTTATCTTTAAACGTTTAGAAAATATTTAGAAAAGTGTGTCATCAGAACTTCACTTTTAGCACCCTGTATCTCGGAAAAGAAACGTTTTCGAATGTTTATATCAACTTTACTCCTATTTTAGGATGTTAAAATATGACCGTCTAATTTCAGGACACCCTGTATATTATTTATTGAGAAATGGTATCTAATTTGTATAATAGCATTTAAAAGGGAAAGTATCATTTTATTTCGAATTTTGGTTTTGACAATGTTCATTATAAAAAATGACTTCTTTACAACTACATTTGAGGAGGGTAAAAAAGAAGTAACAAGAAGAAAAAATCACAAAAAATCGCAATATTTTTAAAGTTGTAGCCCAAAAATCGCTTTGCGATTTTCTTAAAAAAACTGTCGCAATAATTTTTAGAAAGTAGCTCAAGTTGCGATAAATAGCCCAATCTGGCCACACTGGTTCAAGTTCGATTAAATCATTTGATTTATTATTGTTTGGGATTAGTCATTCAAGAGATTTCCACATTTCTTTCGAATTTCCTCTACTGTGGTTAATATTTTTCTCGTCACTATTTCTATGTATTTATATTCATTCCAATTATTTTCTGTTCTTTCTAATGAATAATTTTCATAACTTGTGGCAGCTTTTACTTTATCATTCCACCTCTTTTTGTATCTAGGAAATATTTTTATTTATTTTTTTTTGGCGCTACAGAATTTAGTACATTTAAAATATTTGATAAAAAATTATCATATTTTGCATTAATGTCATAAATACGATAAATTTATACTAATGTTATATAGGGTGCGGCAAAATATAACCATAGCATTTTTTAAATAAACGTTTTTTTATAAAAACTACTTATAAAAAAATATCGAGTAAATGACTATTGACTAACTCTATTTTAATGTGTAGCTCAATATTTCAGCAGGAATTTCGTTCAGTGGCGGTTTTAGGATATTCGTTCTAGGGAGGGGGGGAGGACGCTGCAAAAATTTATTGGCGAAATAAATATATACCTAATTTACCAAATTTTTCTTGTGATCAGTATATATTATTTTTGGAGAAGTTATTTTTGGAGAAGTTATTTTTGGACAAATTTTTAATTTAATTTTGGAGATCAAAGTACGATTTTGTTATTACTTACATTACCTATAAAATCTACTTACCTATAATGGGTCCATTTTGAGTAAATGGCACGGTTTTATCTCCTGTACCAATTATAAATAAACAATCTGTCCTCCTCAGATATGTCAAACATTTTTGCAGTTTCATCAAAGTTAGATTGATGTCAAAATCCACGATAACTGCTCCAATTTCTTCGTTATCATCTATCGCTTCAATTACGGCAGGCACAGTTTCAGCGATAGGATCTGACTGAAATTTTTAACACCACTAACTTTAGATTCTTTAGAAACTATGTAACTTTTTTTAAAATTTAACTCATTAACTTAAATTGACTTTTTTTATGTTCAGTATGACATATTAGTATGAATAAAAATACAATATTTGATTTTACTTAAAAATTGCTAAAAATACTGTTTATTATTTAAAAAATTCAAATTCTGACTTATGTTTAATGTTTCGTAGAAGAGTTAGCAAATACCAACAGATATATGCCAAATTTAACTTTTATTTATTGGAAAACAAGCACTTTTTAAAAGTAATATTATGAATTTTAGATCAGTGAAGTTACCCCAATGATATTTTTGTAAAAGAACTAGTGCAGTAGAATGCACTAGTTATGCTCCAATATGCACCATTAATTATTTTTTTTGCACCACTTTCCTTAAGAAACTACAGCTATTTCCATGTGGGGGGTAGCAAACGAACGCTGCCTCATTTCTCAGTGAAAATTTTAGGATTTACTGTAATCCACTCATACGCACCACTAATAAAACTTTTTGCACCCCTCCCTTTAGTAGTTATAGCTGTTTCCTTACCGTGAAGTGAGCCCCTCCAATTATATTTTCCCAAAAAAAATATTGCACCGGTATACATTCCTGATGCACTCATATGCATCACCAATAAAACGTTTTGCACCTCCTCCCTGTAGTAATTATAGATACTTATTTACTATAACGCAAAAAAATATTGGGTAGGGCTAACTTCACGGTAAAAACTTCAGCTATAACTACTAAATGAAGGGGGTACAAAAAGTTTTAATGATGATGCATATGAGTGCATCAGTAGTGCATATAGGCGTAATATTTCTTTAGCTGAAACATTATTGAGGCGAACTTCACGGTAAAGATATTGCTAGAACTACTGCAAGCAAGGGGTATCTGTATCTGTAATGTGTGGAATTTAGGCCTCATTAGGCCCATTGTGCATCCTCCTGAGAAGATAGGCTCCTCCTAGCTCGTGAGCCAGCCTACAGATTTAATGTAGTTGACAACGTCGCCAAGAGGTGCTTCTCTTATATCGGCCGGTGTTAGCCGATACTCGCCGAACACAAATCTTCTAATAAATGAGAGCGTCGAGCAATCGTAAAGGATATGCTCGAGGTCTCGTCTTCTTGTTGGCACCCTCTGTAGAGTGCGGATTCTGGCAGTCTAATGATATGGAGATGCTTTCGTACTTGGCAATGACCAGTCAGAATGTCTGGGACTAAGCGCAGATTCTGTATAGTCATAGTCAAGTATTTGTTTGCTGCAGTGTTGTCAGGATAACTTAAGAGCTCCCTGGCAACTCTGCAGTTTTTGTTTCATCCCATCTTTTCTTGAATTTCACAAGGGAATGTTCTTTGATTAGGTCTGTCACTACCGATTTTTTCAGGCCAATAGAAGGGCCAGGTCCAAAAAGTATTTGGTTGGCTGCTTTCTTGGCTAGTGAATCAGCAAGGCGTTTACCTTTCGATGTGGCGTGACCTTTAATCCATCTTAAGGTGACCACGTTGTTGATGGATACTTCGGCCAAAGCTTCGTAACATTCTAGTACTAACCCTGAATAAATTTGTGGTCTGTTGAGGGCGAGTAGTGCTTGTCTGCTATCTGTGTATAGATGAGCACGTTCCTTCCAGTGATATTGTTTCTGGTTATTTCTTTTGCTGCTATGAGAATCCCTATTTGCTGTTTGAACTACACTGTCACTATTGCTCACAGCCCATTTTATGTTAAGGTTTAAGAATCTGGAGTATATTCCACATCTTGAGCCTTGTTTTGTTTTAGAACCGTCGGTGTAGATATGAATCGTACCTGCCACTTCTGGCTCTTCTATTTGTTCTATTATAACTTTATATGGCTTATGAAAGATATATTTTGCTAAGATGGAGTCCATGTTCGCTTGAAGCAGTGAGAGCGTATCCAGCGCCTCCTGCCAAAAGTGACGTCTCGCCTCACCAGATCCTACATCAGGTTCTATTCCGACCGTGCGGAGACGTGTCATTATCGTCATAGCAATCTCCTTGATGTAAATATCAAGGGGAGTGAGACTAAGAATGACTTCCATGGCTCTAGTCGGTATTGTTTTCATGGCTCCTGTTATGTTGAGACATGCTGTTCTTTGAATTTGTTCTAGTTTAAGGATAGCTGTTAATTTTTGGGTTTTCGGTACCCAGACAACTGCAAGGAGGGGGTGCAAAAAGTTTTGTTGGTGTTGCTTATAAGTGCATCAGGAGTGCATAGCGGTGGAATTTTTTTTTGCGAAAACTTCATTGGGGGCTAACTTCACGGTAAAGAAACAGCTATAACTACTAAAGGGGGTGCAAAAAGTTTAATTAGTGGTCCGGTGCATATTGGTACATCACTAGTGCATTTTTTTGGGGTCAACTTCACTGACTTATGAATTTTGTTAATACTGGTTTGCGATTGTTATACCTAAGGCTAGGTTACATAATTATTTACAACAAATTGAAAGTGTAAATTTTTACTCACAGAACTGGGTGCTAATTTAAAACCGGCATCTAGTAACTCATCTTTTAGACCTTGACCACCAATGACGAATATTTGTTTATTAAATTTCTTCTTTTTTAAATAATCGATGTACCCTACAGATGGGTTCACGATATCTTCTTTATTTACAGGAAACTGAAATTTCTGTAATAATTGATGCATAGTCTCAATCCGAACTGTGGCGTTGTTGGTGACAAAAGTAACTCTTTTTCCAAGATTTTTTAAACCCGTTATGCACTCGGATGCTCCTGAAAATGGTTTGTATGCCAGCCATATTACACCTAAAACAATATTTTCTTAATATTAAAAAAGGTTCTTCTATAAATCTATAATATCGTCAAATAATATATTTTTTTAAGGCCGACCAGAAAATATACAGTTTATGTTACGTCACGTTACTAGAAGGAAAAATTATTTTTGAAACAAGAAAAGGTTAAGCGTTATTGTTTTTTATATGTTTATTAGACTGGGCCAAAAAAATAAAACAATTTTTTTTCTTAGCGGAACTATTAAAATATTGTTCATGACGACAAAAAAAAAATTTCCTGAAAGTTTGAGCCCTTAATAATAATATTAAGAGGTGCATCATTGCAGTTATTGATTTTTCAACAGTTGTCGCGTTTTTGCATAAATTTCGGACTTGGTCAATTTTAAAAAATCACTTATTCTTGTAGGAAATTAAATTCCCCACAAAAAAGCTCTCTTAGTAAATTTTCGTAAGACGAGTCTATTCTTTGTAATCTTAATATTTAAGTTCATTTTGGAATTTTTTTTTGTCGTCATGAACAATATTTTCATAGTTCCGCTAAGAAAAAAAATTGTTTTATTTTTTTGGCCCAGTCTAATGTTTATTCAATAAAATTATTATCAAATTACCCCAACCCTAACCCCATAGACTCTTAAATTAACCAGTCTTCGATAACGTCACACTAGTAAGATCAGTTTATACGATAAAATCATAAAAAAAAAACAATAATAATCTACACCATGGTACAATTTGAATTTGCCATCTGGTACCACTGGTTTGAGAATAGGGTACCAGGGAGTGTCAATACTGCTAATACCTATACTGGGGTTGGACATTGAGGGAGCAGAATTTTTATTGAAATCCCTGTATTATAAAAAAATTTAATTTTCTTACCATCCATATCTGAAAGTACATGATCAAATGAACAAAAAAAACGTTTCTGCTCTTCCCTAGATGCACAAGCTAAATTTTTGATTTCTCCAAAATCACACATCTTAATTTTTTTAATAGTCACTTTCTGATTGCTATCTGGCTTTCTTTTTTAATTGAACTGATTTTTCACAATCTACTCTTTTTTTTATATACTCGAGCTTAGTTTTATTAGTATTTAACTAACAGTATGTATGTAGGTATCTAAAATGTTTTGTCGTGCAAAATTATCCAACCAAAGTAAATAGCCAACATGATATTAATGATATGTAATATTTAGCATACGTATTGTATTGGTTTGCCACAAAAGTGGAAGTAGATAAGGATACCGGTTGATAATGAAATCATTTCATCTCTTCCAACTAATTAAGGACTCATAGTTTTTTTTTGTGATAAGTTTTGGAAAGTTTAACAAACTAATTTTTGTTAAAAATAGTAAACATTGTTATCTTTATGTCTAAAATATTTTGACAGTTGTTTAAATGAGATATCCATATTTTTAATCTGGATTATGATAGATTATAACATTTTAGGATTAGGTCGTATAAAAAGTGTATAAACTAAATATATTTAAAAAAAAAGAGACTAAAATTATTAAAATAATCTTTTACCTAGAGTTAAATAGTTAAAATTTAAAAATTTTTAGAATGAATTATGATTAAGAAGGTAGTAATTATACGACAAGTATTACACAGGGTAAGATAAAACACACGTTTAAATTTTGATCAATAGCTTCAATTTTTAATTATTTTTCTTATTTCATTATATTCTACGCAGTGGCGTAGCTACCACAAAACAAACCAGCGCAATGAGTTGCAATCCCCAAGCAAATTGTATATCATTATTCAGCTACTAGGTATATGCTGAACATAAAGTTGAAGAAGCTCTATTGTTTAAAGTACACCACTAGTCAGCAATTAGGAAGATGCTCCACAATAGGCTGAAAGGGCGCTACTTAAATCAAATTGTATACCTTTATTCAGCTAGTTAGTACTTATTTATTTATACATTGTTCAACAGGTTAAACCCAATTACAGAACAGGAGTACATTTGGAAGAAAACATGTTTAACAAATAGTATATTACATAACAAGAGTAGTAAGAAGCTAATTACATGCGAGTAGAAAAGTTGCACACGAGCCGCGTTAGCGGCGAGTGTAGTAATTCTACGAGCATGTAATTGCTCTTACAACTCGAGTTATGTACTATACTTTATCTACAACCACATTCATACATTCATAATAAAAAAGCTTTCATAATCTATAACATTTATTAAATACAATAATTCATTAACATATCATTGATTCTTAGAATAATAATTAACGGTAAAATTTTGGCAATTTTGAATAATTATGGATTCGTTAGTATTTTGAGGTATTTTATAAGAAGTAGATGGCACTGAAAGAGATGATGTAGATGGTGCAGAGGAATTAGACTCTATTTGATTGCTGTTATTTATGGTTTGAAGGATATTATAAGTAGAAATATTCTCATTTATTTCTGATATGCTAGGTGGAAAATCTGTTTTTTCAATTGACTGGATAATTTTATGAGCCGTTAAAGTTTTATTATTTAATGAATTATCAACATATCCTTCAGCAGTCGTTGAGGATTTCCAACCTCCATGCCTTTTTAATGCGAATAAATCACCACCTGCATCAATTAAAATTGTGACAGAAGTTCTTCTTAAACAATGGCCGGTGTATAAATTGGAATTGGGCAAGTTTAAATATTGTGCTATTTGTTTGGGTACATTTCCAATTTTATTTATACCGACCACTTGTTTGGTGCATTTTCCTTTTTGATAGTTTATGAAAAATTGATTTGTATCAAGATTTTGCACTTGCTGGCGATGTTGCATATATTGTTTGCATATTTGATAAAAGGTTCCGTTAATCACAAAAGACCTGCTTATCTTAGTTTTTGAATCAGGTATTTCAATAATCAGTATGTCACCAACATCTCTTATATCCTTGATTTGTAAATATTTTTAATTCTTGTTTCCTACATGCGCCACAAACTCCTATAATTAGAATCACCTTAAATAAAATATTGAAAAGTAAAATCACTAGCCAATACTAAATTAACTGAAGGAAAATTGCTTTAGATACAAACCTTTGTTAATAAGTATTGTGAATCAGGAGCTTCATTTAAAAATTTACTTATTTCATCAGAAGAAAAAATTTTTGATTTTTTGCTTTTAAAACCTTCCGATTGCCTTTTTAGGAATGCCTTTAATTTTGGGTATGTTTCAATATTCACGTTGTTTTTTATGGAAATGACGGTCCTTAACATGGAATATATTGCCCATATTGATGAAGGTTTAAATTGTTCCATTAGGTCCCCAAAATATGCCAAAAGCACATTTTCAGAAAATGAATTAATCTTGTTTTTTATACGCCAGTCCATAAACTTTTAGTATACTATTTCATACCTTGTTCTTGATTTTGTTGGCAGTAATTTTTCAGTGGTATTGGCAGCTTTTTCAAGAATTTCAGGTGGAGTTTCTTGAAATTCATTTTCGCTATCTAACGAAATCATATTCATTTAAAAAAATAATGCTGTAACTACAAAAATGGCGATTTTATATTTCTGAAATGTCAAAACTTATTAATCGTAACCATGGCGATCACCTAGCAACGGACTAATATGGGTAGTTTGATAAATGAAACTGTTATGTAATATATACATATTACGTAATAGTTTTGAATTTCATTACGTAACAGTATCTGTAATGATGTATTTACTTATAAACAAAACGGTACATAATAGGCGATTTACTGGGGTGGTTGTAGATAAAAGTATATAGATAATCAAACTAAAATTACAGTAAACAAACTCTAAATTATTTTGAGCAATGTGTTTTTATGTTTTTAACACTGCAGTTAAATATATCCAACTGTTCACTAATATTATTATAATTATTACACATGTTATATACAGGTGAAAACCAGGGCCGCCGAGAGTCAATTCTGCAGATCGGGCCCCAGGACAATTCCCCAGATTGGGCCCCGCGACAATTTTATAAAAAATTAAATAACAAAAGGTCTTCAAGCAAAAAAAATTCCCCTCCTCTACTTGAATTTTTTTAACTCTCTACCGCATAGTCATCCATATATGGATTTAAAATTTTTATATTTTTTTTCTTTATTATCAAGGTATATAAGTGACTCTAAATATTACTACTACAAATTTGTTTAATTTTCATATTGCTCTTATTTTTTTCCCATGTGGCAACAGTGTATTTAAAAAAGTATGGGCCATTGTCTTACTCTGTGCTAGTAAAGCGTGCTGTGCAATAATAGGCGTAAGTTTATCTGCAAACATCCACAAATATAAGGTAAATAATTGTAAAATAAATTGTTTTTTAGAATATTAGATGTCTAATTTGTCTAGTAAATATGTTATTTTATAATTACCAACACAAGTTTACTAATAAAACACAATTTGATAAAGTATCCATATATGGCTTCGTATGCATCAGATGAAATATATGCATTTTATGTATATAAGTATGTATGTATGTATGTATGTATGTATGTATGTATGTATGTATGTATGTATGTAAGTCAAATATGGCTTCATATGCACATTATTTAAAATATATTTATTATTTTAGGTATGGATCCCAGGCGTTTTTATGGCAATTCTCGGCACGTCAGTACAATTCCTGGCGGCTATACTTTCTGATTATAAATACGATGAATCCTCTGAATATGAGAGTGATTCAGAAACTGAAAATGTTCCGACTACATCAAAACCACAGAAAATCCAGAAACAAGTAGGTAGAAAAAGTGAAAAACCGAAAAACGAAAAAATTAAATGGAGAAATTCGAAACTAGCAGGGTTCAACGAAGAAAATTATAAATTTTTGGGTTCAAACGATTTTCCGGAATGTATGAGCAATTTGGAAACGCCTGCAGATTTCTTCAAATTTTTATTTCCAAATGATTTAATTCAATTAATAGTAGATGAATCAAACCTGAAATCTGTTGAAGATAATATAAACAAACCGGCAAATATTACAGCAAATGAACTAGAAGAGTTCATCGGTATAACTCTTTTTATGTCATTAGTAAAACTACCTTCTAGTAGACTTTACTGTAATCCAAATGTGGGCCAACGTCAAGTATACGAGATCATGACGTGTAACCTCGTGATAAAAATCACAAGATATTTTTTGATAACTGGTTTAATAGCCCGGGTCTTCAAGTTTATCTTAGTAAAATTGGTTTGTTGCCACTAGGGACTGCTCGACTAAATAGGGTAACAGATTGTGAAATGCCTTCCGAAAAAGAAATGAAACAACGAGGTCGGGGCACTACCAGTGGGTAATGACAGTTTAGATATGGCAACCCTGTTGTCATGTTGTCATTAACAGGGTCAATGATACATATATAGTTATATAGATTGCTCAAAGCTGGTCGTTTACGAGCGGCCATATTGCCTGGCAAATATTTATTAATTTGAATCGGTTTAGCAAAAATGTGTTTTAAAACCAATTTTTAGCCTTTAGATATTTAAAAAAAATAATTGCTTACATTTTTACTTCAAGGCATACGCTTATGTTTATTTTGAAAAATATGGATAATCAATCTATGTAACTATCTATTTCATTGACCTTGTCAAATCACCAGGTCTACAGGGTTGCCATAATTTCATAACCCGTCAAAGCCCACTGGTAGGTATTCAGTTTGGAATGCCTAATTGTTAAAAAATTATTTTTTTTTCAACAAATGGTAAATTAATTTTGGTATTTTATGCTTCCCTTAAAATATTGAATTCAGAAAGTGGGCTCCCCCTTTTGTTTTGAGCTCGATACGCCCTTGGGTAGGTAATTAATATTCTAAATCATAATTCTACGAAATTTCATCAGCTATTCACAATGTATTAAACTATTTACGCAAAATAATTGTTATTATACTCTGTTTTTAAACTAGGAGGAGCGAATTGAAAAGACGCATTTACACAGGGAAAAGTAACTAGATTTGCGAGTTTCGAAATATAGTCGTGTTCAAAATTTATGGAATAATTATCTTTATTGGCCTGAGTCGGTGAACGGCCACTGAGCGGTTAAGAAACGAATAAATGTCATAGAAGTAATTTTTTAATTGGTCCCAGACAACGGTCGCAAATAAGAAAATCAAAGTATGTGCAAATTTCACATTATTGTGATCTGAAATGTGTGTCTAAAACGAAATGTCACTGTCAAATTAAAGTCAATATTGTTGTTGATTGATGTCAGAAATACTTTTTTCTTGCTTTTGAAATCGACTT